TTTAATTTAATTAATAAAAATATCTAATAATTATAATTATTAATTAATAAAATAATTTATATTTATTAATTAACAAATTAATATTTTAAATACTTTTAAAAAAACTAAAATATTAATCGTCTTAACAATATTAATAATAACAATATCACACTCAAAGCACATACTTAACACAAAAAAAGTTAGAATAAAGCAGTAATTTTACCTTGATAATATGTGGAAAGCAGACTAAAACGTCTCATACATGTAACCCAAGATGGCCTTCAGTTCTTTGCAATGTTTTGAAAATGGGTTGCCGGTTGCCAATACGGTTCGAGTGAGCATTCAGTGTCGTTGGAGCTGTTAAACTGCTTGAAACCACCTGAACCGTTTCGAATCATTATGAATTGGTGAACCGTCCAACCAGCCATTTTAACTTGAAGGATAAAAATTTAAAAGAAATGTCGTCAACAAGGTTCGAATACTAGCCTCGAAAGTGTTTAAGCAACCATTTGCCACTAATCCCTGTGCATCATCCACGCCTTGAGGGAGGTGTAATAAAATCCTGGCCCCCAAAGATAAAATTCTGCTTCCACCACTGAATGGAGCATGATCTTCCTCAAGGTGTCACTCTCTTTGATAAACTGCCATCTGGATTGGTTCAAATCCTCCATGGGGATGCAGCTGGAGTTCCCTGCTGCAGCCGTAGTTTGAGGCTCCATCTATTATGGTTAGAGTTCTTAGTTTTTAATTTTAGTTTTTAATAATTATAAAATTTATGAAAATTAAAATCAAATTTTTATTTAAAATGAGTTTTAATAGTAATAAAAAAAATATAAACTTATTTAATAATAGTATTAAAATTATTTTTATTTTTACTTCTCTAATAATTATGTACTAATATGTTCAGAATTATATAAAAATAAATGAGTTTTTTTGAATTTTTTTGATATATTTGAATTTTTGTGAGACCCACATAGATCTTTACATAATTTTTCTTTTTATCTTTTGTTACCCAACTTTTTTTTTCTTTTTTAATTCCGGACCCAAGTGAGTTGAATCGGGTCATTCTTTGGTTGGATGGATTCTAGCTCTTTATGTGTGTAGGTTTTTACTGAACAATTTGCGAGAATGCTGGTATTTTAATATTTCAAAAATATGTACTACATATTTAATATATTTAATATTTATATTTATTAACATTTC